GGACACTGCCTCACCTGCTATTTACACATAGCATGGTTAAGAAGAGATGGATTCAAACCTTTTTTACCAATTTTATTGGCACGCAAGTGAATGCAATTCGAATTCAGCTCTTCAATTCCACAGATTAAAATCTACTAAATATCTATATGAATAATTAAAAAAGGATGAAATGTTTTGTTAATAATTTAAAATTTTTCCTACACGCTGTTTAGTTTAACCATAGAAATTACGCTGTTGGGAAAATGTCCGGATTTAGAACCAAAATGCTTTGCCGAATTCATGTATTTAAACAGTGTTTAAATCAATCAAAAGAGTAGCACTGGACAACTATGCATTTCTGCCATCGAGTTACAAATATATTTATGACGTTATAATATTTTAGAATCAATTTTTATTCCTGTATTCATGTATTTAAACAGTGTTTAAATCAATCAATCAGAAATAACAGACATCTATACCTTTCTGACACGGATTTTGCGATAAAACTCTAAACGTTTGGATACCAAGAAAACTTTGAATGTAGTTTCTCCATCATCTTTGCAACGGAATGTCTTTTGACTTGAATAATCTTCACGATTGAAGAAATGAATATCAGTGGGCGAGAGATCAGAGTAATATGCTCAATGTGGCAATGTTTCGCATCTCATGTCGGTGAGCTTCTACAATGTTTTCCTGCTCGCATGTGGCTGAATATTTTGAAGAAGAATTTAACTGAGTCGATTACCCAGTGCCGATAGCATATTGCTTAACTGAATAGGCATTTCTTGCTAGTTTTTCGCGTTAACCTTCGACAGTGACGCTCTGGTTAGATTCCAAAAATTTGTAATGAATAACATCAATGCCGGATGACCAGACAGTTACCATAATTCTCTGTGTATGCAATTTCGGCCCTCGAAACTGTTTGAGCGCTTCATCATGATCAAGCCATTGAGCCGATCGTGTACGACTCTCGCAAAGGATCCATTTGCATTACATAGCAAGTTACTCTTCACTCGGGAAATTGATCATTGGAATGTTCGCAGATGCAGCTTCGAACGCAATACGAAATGTGGAACTCTTTGACTTTCACTGATTTCATGTGGAACCCACTGATCGACGTTTTTGAGATGGGCTGATATTTTTATTTTACTTTCGTTGTGCTTCAGATAGCATTTCCGGGAATTTCGAATTGAAGCGGTTATGTAATATACGCGGTAAGATTTTTTTTCCCATTCTACTGTCTATGTCTAGGAACTTGAGGTCTGTCTAAAAAGTAAAGGGAACATTATGTGCCTCATTAATTTCAATTGTCTATTTCTGATGATAATTATAAGTCCTTTTTGTTTTATCTAAAAATGTTCGGCCCATGATATTCTCAGAATACTTCTGTAGAATCACAATTCTTTTGCTTCAAGTATTTTCTTCATATGTGGGGAAGTTGTCCAACATTCACTAACATATAGAAAGGCTGATATTATGTCAGAGTTCATTAGTATTTTCGTTGTTCGTAACGAAATTTCCTTGTTTCTAAATACTTTGTTTAGATTTTGAAATGTATCTTTGGCTATCCTCATGCTTTTCGTCCTTTGTTAAAACACTTTCCAGATATTTAAATTGTTGTACTTGTTTAATTTTGGTATCCCCAATTTGTAATTTGCATCTTGGGATGTTCCCTTTTGCTGACAATCATGCATTAAATGACCTAATTGAACATGCTTCAGTCTATTCCTATTTAGCTAAGTGTTCTGTCAACCATTTTCACAAGCACGTTAAGCAGATTAGTCTCTACTTCCTCTTGTCTCTCTTGCCTTCAATGTATCTTGTGAGTGTTAAATTTTCTAAGCCCCTTTTCCTCATTATATGCCCCAGAAACTTCCATTTTCCCTAAACTATGTCATTGCTTATATGTTCGGACCATAGGATTCTCACCATGCTTCTGTAGAACAATATATCTGTTGCCTCAAGTCTCTTCTTCATCGGTGAGGAGATTGTCCAATATTCACTTTCATATAGCAGGACTGATATTATATAACAGTTCAGCAGTCTTTTCTTGGTTTCTAACAAACCCTTTCTTTTTTCTTAATACATTGCTTCGCTTGTAGAAGGCATCTTTCTCTATCCCAATATGCCTTAGAATTTTGATGTCGCATTTTCTGTTAAAACATTTCTTTGATATTTAAATTGTTTTACTTGTTTAATTTTGGTATCTACAATTTGCAATTTGCATGCTGTCTTTTTGCAGTTGTTTTTTTACTGCTTTCTTCTCACTTTCTTTCCCTATATTCTGTAAAAGCATCTGTAGTTTCCTGTTTGTGTCTGCATATCTTAGGTTGTTAAGATTATGACCACCAATAATGAATCCAGGTAGCACTTCTAATTCTCTCAGAATCGTCTCACAGTATAGTATGAATAAATCCGGTGAGACGACACCTCCTTGTCTTACACCCCACTTCTATGTTTGTTTTTTTTAATTAGTGAATTAATTTTCTATCCATCCGCAAGTGGTTTTGCTTTATTCTTATATCCTTCCCAAATATACAAATATTGGGTTGTCCGGAAAGTTCTTGCCGATTTTTAGTCGTTCATCTTCCAACACGTTAGAACACGTGAAATTCATCGACAGATATAATTCGCTTACATTTCCGATTAGAGCCCACTTTAAGGTATCGCTTGAGAAAGAAAGTTTAAAATTGTTTAATCCGCGTCAATGTTGCATCCCTATAAAAATGAATGATTATAAGGTGCATTTTAGACACATACCGTCAAGGCAAAAATGCCTCGCAAATAACAAAAAAGATATGTACAGTGTACAGTGAAGGTGTTTTAGCTAACAAAACTATACGGAAGTGGTTCGAAGTTTTCAGCTGGCGATTGTAGCCTTATCGGTGAAAAACACTAAGGCAGACTCCCACTATAGATGATGATCAAATCACGACATTGGTTGAGAATAACCCGCATTACACAAAGCAGGAATTAGCAGAAGCACTATATTTATCAAAATCCATCATCCATGAACACTTAGCGAAACTTGGATACTCAAATCTCTACGAAGTTTGGGTACCATATGATCTGAATGAAAGAATCTTTTGGATCGCATTTACTCTGTGATTTGCTGTATAAAGGCAATGAAAATGCACCTTTTTTAAGAAAATTGTGACGGGCGATGAAAAATGAATCGTTTACAACAATGTTCAGCGAAAAGAATTCTGGCTAAGCGACGTGAACCAACGTTATCCGCCTCAAAAGTAGGTCATTCATCCTAAGAAAATCATGCTGTGCTTCTGGTGGGAATAGAAAAGAATCCTGTACTATGAGCTTTTGCCATGTAACCAGTCAATTGATTCTGAAGTGTTCTACTCGCAACTGAACGAATTAAAGGCATCAATTCAAGAAAAAAGACCGGAATTGTCGAACAGGAAAGGTGTTGTCTTCCATCAAGATAATGCCAGACCTCACCATTATTTGGAAACCCAGCAAAAATTGTTGAATTTTGGCTGGAATGTGTTATTCCATCCGTCATATTCACCAGACATTTCTCCTTCAAATTTTCATTTATTCAGGTCCTTACAAAACAATCTCAATGGTAAAAAATGTAATTCTTTGGATGACATAAAAAAAACACCTTAATGAGTTCTCAGGCGAGAAATCACCGAATTTGGGGGAAGATGGAATCTTTAAGTTGAAGGAAAAAATGGAGAAAGGCTGTGAAACGAAATGGCTTATATTTAGTTGAATAAATATTTAATGGCATTGTTTTGCGTTTTAATTACGCATAAAAATCAGCACGAATTTCCGGAGCACCCAATATATATAACATCAACAGGTCTTTATGATATATTTTATCAAACGCTTGTACATAATCTAAAAAAACATAGGTATATATCTTTTACCATTTGCATTGCTTTTTCCTATATCATTATAAGCATAAATATTGCATCCCCTGCTCCGGCGTCTTTAACGAATCGGCAATCTTCTACTGCGCGCTCTAATCATCAGAATTCGGATGATAAGTTTGTTATGTGGCTCACTAGGTTGATTGTCCGATGAATAGTGTAGATAAAACGAATAGTAGAGATAAAATGAACAGTTGAAACAAAATACATTTATAGAAAATATTTTTCATACGCAAAACGCATATCATCAACAACGATGTAAAAAAAACAATCTGTAATTATTCGAAGAGGGAAATTCTCCACTTCTTATCACATCATTAAGATAAAAACAAATGAATAGCAATAAAGATTGATTTTCTTCCGGATTTATGTGTTTCAAGCTCAGAATAGTTTTGTATTATTTTGTCAATAAAACTAAAATCTCTAACGACTTATATTCCTTACACCCACGCAATTAATATTCTTCCGTTTCGAAATGGGTTACATGGGAATAATACATTTTCTGTTAATGGATACGAATGGCTACAATGATCGCTTTCGTCAGCTTTCCATCGTTTAAATCATTCAGAAGTGAAAACAAATATTAGCAGCAAAATGACCCTCTTGAGTATTACCTAATTCACGCTACCTTCAATATATTTAATTGGTAATTGACTTGACGGTAGAATAAATACGATATCGCTTCTTCATATAAGCGATAACAGCCCTCCACAAATTCCTTTTCTTTGTTATCTGTGAATTTTCCTAACGTCGTGAGAAAGATGGAATATTTTTCCAATGCATTATCTACGGTTTTTAATACAGAGTAGGACTTCAGTATATGTCTATATTTCTGAGATGATGTACACTATTTACATTATTCGGACTATTGTCCTCATCTTTGTCGCCATATTTATCACAACGTTTCGGCCGTTGTACCCTCCTGCCTTCTTCAGGTGGTTGGAATGTCAAACTGAACCCTTTATTTCGCTCACTGGGGTAGACTGTTCTAGTTCCACATGCCATGTTTAATGGATGTCTGTTATCAGTTATCTCCTGTTAATTACCCAATCTCCAAGTTCTCCATTACCTTAACCGAGTATTGAACTCACACTCTTTGGGTCCTGTCACTGGATTTAACTAATGCCTTTATCCACTGTGCCATGTATCCTTGAGGACAGTAGATAAAGGCGCTAACTGAAAACTGATATCCATTAGACATAGATAGATAGATAGATAGAGATAGATAGATAGATAGATAGATAGATATGAATGAGATAAATCGAGGAGTCGATTTATCTAATTCAATTGATATCTATCTATCTCAGCCACATGTATCTATTTATGTATATTTCTAGCTATCTAGGTATCTCAGTCGCTTCATATCAGTATAGCTATCTAATACTAATATATATATATATATATACAAGGTTCGATGTGTAATTTGCCGCCATTTTTTTTAAATTTTGCGCATGCGCGTTTTTTGATTTTGTTTTTGTCAACTGCGCAGTATGGTAGGTTCAGCTGGGCAGCGTCTGTGACTAAAAGAGCACCAGGACACAATTCACTCCACCAGTTTGGAAACGGCATGCTGTACTGATTGGCATTCGCGCCGGTGGTTTCAATATGAACATTTCAGAGTGTTTTGGTGTCAATCTGAGGACGCAGAAACGCATTCAGGAAGAGTTGGATGAATCTAATGTTGATTACGAAGGTACGGGAGCTCTGATTGTTCTGATATGAAAAGAAATTTCGAATTTGTTGGTGAAATCCAGACCATGATTGACAACAATGCCTCCAACTCAATCGGTTCCATAGTCAGTGTCAAGAGGGTGTTCTGCTGAAACAGAACTACACAAACAGAAGAACCCAGTCATGGCAGTCAGACAATTGCTGAGACCACATTACACCTTACATCTGGCCACTTAACTCGCCAGGTTTGTTTATTATGTATCGGGTGCAGTGTCAGCGAGAAACCAACAAAACTGCTTTTAACACCAAAGACGAAATGAAAGCAAGAATTTTGGTAGCATTTAACGACTTAAACAAAGGATTCTGCATATATTTGCCCATTTGCCTATCTATTTATCTATAAGACTGCTCATTATATATATATATATATATATATATATATATATATATATATATATATATATATATATCAGTCTCTTCATATATTTGTCCATTTGCTTATCTATCTATCTATCTATGTAAGACTGCTCATTATATATATATATATATATATATATATATATATATATATCAGTCTCTTCATATATTTGTCCATTTGCTTATCTATCTAAGTATCTATCTATCTAAGACTGCTCATTATATATATATATATATATATATATATATATCAGTCTCTTCATATATCTGTCCATTTGCTTATCTATCTATCTATCTATCTATCTATCTATCTATCTATGTAAGATTTGCTCATTATATATATATATATATATATATATATATATATATATATATATATATATATATATATATCAGTATCTCTTCATATATTTATCCATTTGCTTATCTATCTATCTACTATCTATCTATCTATCTATGTAAGACTGCTCATTATCAACACTTTATCGATCATTTAATGCCGAAAGTTCATACAAACGTACTTATAAATTTTAGATTAAAATAAAATTCTTTTTCATTTTTCATTTAAAATATACTCTATTTTTGGAATACGTTTTCACAACATCGCCCACGTGACGGCGACGTGATCATATTGTGAAACTGAACGCTGATCTTAAAAATTTCAGTTATTCTGTTTGATTAGTCTTACTCTTATGTCTATCATCTTTTCATGTTGACTTGAATATCGTCTAATGTTAATTAGGTTTTAATAACTATGTCCTGAAGAAGGTCTACTAGACCGAAACGTCTGACGTCGACATTAAAACAACATTAAAGCAGCATATTTGCATATTCGGATTTTTGTTTTTCCATATATTTTTCTTCATACTGTCGGATCTATATCCATATATTTGCTTAAATATATATATATATATATATTATATATATTATATATATATATATATATATATATATATATATATATATATATACTGCGTGCCAAATTATTATCGAGATTACTTTTTTTTATAATATTTCAAAAGCCATCAATCTATTCACACAAGATTTTCACACAACATTGGCAACACTGACCTGCACAATCGTTGAAATTTTCGCCCTGATCTGCGCAAGGTAAACAAACTGGTGCCATATTTATTTATCAGCACGGTGATTTGAGCGTGCCAAATTATTATAAAAATGTAAGAATTTAGTAAAAAGATGGGCCATAAAAGCAGTTTAAGTAATGCTAAAAAGAAAACTATCACCTCAGAACTCTCAAAAGGTAAATTAAATTTCCCTAGCAATGTCTAAAATGATAGGGAGGTTTCATGAAACAGCGAAAAAGTTCACCGCCGACCCTACACAAGTACGCAAAAGAGCAGATAAAGGCAAGCCGAGGGTTATTTCACGTTGTCTCATGTCACGACTTAAACGAGGGGCCACAAAGAACCCTGGACTTACCAGTCGTATTGGGGATCCTACAGTGTCTAAACGTACTCGGTGTCGGTATCTGAGGGAAATAGCAACAATAGTCAAACCTGTATCGAAGCCTCCGTTGACGAGAAATCACATTCAAAATCGACTGAAATGGGCCGAGGACAATATGAAGATTGACTTCTCTAAAGTTTTGTTCACAGACGAAACTCAAGCAACACTTGATGGGCCAGATAGATGGTGCAAAGGTTGGGTAATGAACGGACAGATTCGCCATCAGCGTTTGAGACGCCAACAAGGCGGTGGAGGCATAATGATCTGGGGTGGTATTATTGGAAAAGCATTAGTGGGCCTATGAAGAGTACCAGATGACGTCAAAATGACTGCTGATGCATACATAGCGTTTATGAAGGAGCATCTTGAACCGTGGATGAAAAGGCAAAGAGTTGCCTTCAGAAGGGCCATTGTTTTTATGCAAGATAATGCTCCCTCACATGCTGCTCACAAGACGACTGAATATTTGAAACAGTTAGGCTTTGATGGACCTCGAAAAATGAAGTGGCCAGCAAATTCTCCGAATTTTAAACAGATTTGGCCGAAGTCGCTAAACTTTGTCAGTAGGTGTTTTATCGTATATAGTTTTAGGACGGCCGGACAAATTAGAGGTGGGTCTTGTTATCACGTATTTTCCCATATGATGTCTGGACATTATTACTCCATCTTTCTTTTTTTAGTATCTGATGCAATTCTTCTAGAGTGGGTTTTATATTGTATAGTTTGTTATTTGGTCAGCCTGAAAATCTTAAACCCGAACCATCACCATCATTCCGATATTCTCTTTGGACATTGTATATGTACCTGTCTTTGTGCAAAGAGAGGGCAAACAGATATAAATCCTAATCTAGTAAAGAATAATTCTTTGTTTATAATCCCATGCCCCATGAGGTGATCATACCTCTTTTCTTTTTCTTTATTATCTGCGACTTGCCATGCATTTTCTTTACGGTTTTGAATTGAGGACATCATCTAACCCAACCAACAAAATTACATTTCTCCGTTAATACAAAGTTAAATAGATGACAGGAAAACGTATTTTATAGATATCCCAGAACGTACTCATAGATACGTTAGCATGTAACATGCCAGCGATCACGCAGAAAATGAATAATCAAAAGTTATGACCCTCACTTTTTTAAAATATGAAACAAAAACTTTCAGAGTCTGTCTATATTTCTGAGATCAGGTATTATGTACATTATTTAAATTATTCAGTCTATTGTCCTCATCTTTGTCACCATATTAATACAGGGTGCCGGCAAATTCAGTATCGGACTATATATCTGAGATGAAGGATTATGTACACTATTTACATTATTCGGACTATTGTCCTCATCTTTATCGCCATATTTATTACAACGTTTTGGCCCTTCAGTATCTGTCTATATTTCTGAGATGAGGTATTATGTACACTATTTACATTATTCAGACTATTGCCCTCATCTTTGACGCCATATTTATTACAAAGTTTCGGCCTTTCAGTATCAGTCTATATTTCTAAGATGAAGTATTATGTACACCATTTACATTATTCAGACTATTGTCCTTATCATTGTCACCATACTTATTACAACGTTCCCGCCATTCAGTATCTGTCTATATTTCTGAGGTGAGGTATTATGTACACTATTTACATTATTCGGACTATTGTTGTCATCTTTGCCGTCATATTTATTACAACAAGAACATATGGCACAGTGGATAAAGGCGTTGGTTAGATCCAGTGACAGGACCCAAAGAGTGTGATTTCAATACCCGGTTTAGGCAGTGGAGAACTTTCAGAGGGAAATTAACCGGAGATAAGTGATAATTGACATCCATCAAACATGGCACGTGGAACTAGAACAGTCTACCCTAGTGAGCGAAATAAAGGGTTCAGTTCGACATTCCAACCACCTGAAGAAGGCCGGAGCGTACAATAGTCCGAATAATGTAAAAAAAACTTTCTATACATATTCTATACATATGCATATTTAATGAGACTCAACACAAGGAAATCCGAAGTTATGGTGAATAGCACAAGCAGCACCAGTGCCAGAGTCACTATAGACAGTGAAACAATGGAGGAAGTGTCCTGCTTTGGTAGCAAATCTGTGAAAAGATGGTACCTGTAACGCAAGAATCCGCAGACGAAGCACCATTGTTACAGCAGTGATGACCAGACTAGAAAGGATATGGAAGAATTCGACAACAAGGTCTCATCAGTTTACAGGTGAATTGGCTTGGTGTAACCGTAAGTTCTATGCTAACTGTTTCTTCTTCCAACTTCGTCCTTTCTGGCCAAATTTCATCTTCAAAAATTTATATTCAATGTCAAACGCTGTCTATTTTTCTCTTGATTACTCTTCTTTTGTTCTCCTCATTCTTTATGTTTTCGTTTTTAATTCATCCTCACACAGTAACTCCTTTTGTCTTTGTGGCCTTTTGCTTTCATGTCAACTTTAATTTTCAAAGTTTAAATGCAATTTTAATAATTATCTACTGCCTGACTGATTACTCGTGTTTTGTTCTCGCTCCTTAATAATATATTTAATAATATCTATCTCCGATAAAATTCTGATCATAAATATAGCATTTCTTATTCCAGTATTCTTACCTTTTACCTGTCTAATTGCGCCTCGTATTTTATTTTTTCAGAATTCAGATTATTATCTTGGTTCATGAAACTTATCGACGAATAAAGTTTGAATTCATTTACAACTTGTTTCTTACGGTGGTAA